CAACGGAATCGAATGCCGCCTTCAGGTCGAGAAATACAGCTGTTGTCGGGCGTCGGTAAGCCTGCTTGTGTTCCAGGACTTGGCGCAGTGTGAATATCTAATCGATGCACACACAGTCTGGCCTGAAGCTTGCCTGATTTTCTCGAGTTTCCTGTTCCCAAACCCCACTTGGAAACATAATGATAAGAAAACCAAGAATCTCAGACACTTTGCTAGGCTGATTCCTCTGTGTTTATCACATGAGGACTTCTCGCCTTTCTTGAAGACTGGCATGATGAGTGACTTAGACCAGTCGGAGGGGATCGTATTTGATTCCCATATACTGGCTAACACTTCCGTCAACCTGACTAAGAGCACTCTACCACCGTCCTTGTATACCTCTAGAGTTATTCCTTCCGGTCCTGCTCCCCTCCTCGTCTCAAGTTACCTACAGCTTTCTCGACTTCTGCAAATGTTGAGGGCTTACCCCAATGTACCATTCAAAATCCGACTGGATAGCGGGCAACGCAATGGTGGCTGAAGGCCAGTTAAACTGTTCCTCAAAGTGTTCTGCCCATCGTCCCAGTCGTCTCCCCTGCGAGTGAGTCGCAGACCCGTCCTTTTCCGTTATAGTCTCACAAACTTGTTGACCTTTACCCCCTAGTTTCCTTATTGAGTCTAAATGACTGTCTTCTGTTACGAATCCCCTCTGCCTTTTCCATCTCTTTAGCCTTCACTGCCCATTACTGTTCGTGGTCGTTGCGCAGACTTTTTGTCAATCTACTTTTAAGTTGCCCTCGCCGTTCATTGTACTCAGAGCCTGCAGGGATGCTCTCATGTGCATCCACTGGTTGGGAAGAAGCTGCTGATATCCACTGGCTCTTTTTAGTCACTATTTCGGAATCGGCTACGGTCTTCAGCACTGCGTATACAGAAAACTGGAGATGGCACCAAGCTTCTTCTGGGTGAGTGATTGTGTTCTATTTTGATAATTGCCTAGTCAATTTCTAATATCGTTAATTGAGAGACGTGAAGAAAGATTAGGAGGTAATGATAAGGGAGGTGAATAGCAGTCTGAGGAAACTTGAGTGCTGACAGTGTTGTGAGGGCGGTTGACACTTCCCGGCTGCCTACACCGTGGAAGACTTACTCCTTAAGGCACCTGAAAGAGATTTATGTGACCGCAGAGCCCATCGGATATCCGTTTGAGACCTGTCACACAACCTTTTGTGTTTGGTTGTTTTGGGGCCGGATGGTCGAAAAAAAACGACAAATGAACTAACACCACCGGCCCGGCAAACCGTGGGGCATGGTGGAGTGTGTTATTTTTGTGGCCGACCTTTTCTAACTCCCCCACCTTTCCACTGAGAAGGCGGCATCAGTCATTCAAGGGAAACACATTACAGCTGTTGCACCCCATCCAGCTAGCAGCAGTACGGCTTCGCCCTCAGACCCCCATCATAGTGTAGTAATTTACACCAAAACCTCAGCAACTGACTTTCCTCCTCGCCCTAAAACTCTACACGTGACTTTTACCTTACTGATGTGGTGTAATGCATCATCATCATCATCATCATCATTATCAACATAGGACCAGGCATTACTGCGTAACGGTCCGAGTTGCCACACCTCATATCAGCACATCAAGTAAAAAGGTAGTGAGGTGAAGGATGAAGATAAGTGAATGCAGTCAAAAGAAATATAAAGTACGAGAAGAAAGGAAAGAGGAGTGACAAAATAGTGAGATTCGGTATAGCGTTGTTAAGATGAGGATAATGTGTGTATACATCTGCGCCACTGACTTCGGTTCTGAGCCATATCACCTAGGGTCTCCAACCACTGGTTCCTCTTGTCTCTTGGACCCCAACCACCTAGTCTGCATCGTCCTACATGGCTTAAACCAACAGTCAGAGACTTCATACATTGGTGCCATGTTTTGGTCTGGCCACCTCGGGCCTTTTTCCAGCCTGAACCCACCTCAGCCAACATTGTGTGACGAGGCAATCGGTGACTAGGCATACGTAGTACGTGTCCCAACCATCTCAGTCGGTAAAGGTTCACAACCTCGTCAACTGACTTACCTCTTCTCCCAAAACTCTACACCTAACTTCTGCATTACTCACATGGTGACACCACGGAATACGTCCTATATTACGAAGGCAACGGTGGTCAAACACCTGGAGCCTTTTTGTATCCTCCTCTTTCAATGGCCATGTTTCACAGCCATACAGTAGAACAGAGCGGACTGCTGTGCAGTACACGCGACCCTTGATAGACAAACGAATATCACAGCGGCGCCATAGGTGGCGCAAATTGGCAAAAGCCAATCGAGCCTTTTGTATCCATGCAGAAATCTCATCGGCAACTAACCCACCGGAGTTGATCCTACTTCCCAGGTAAGTGAAGTGGTCAACACACTCAACCACTTCAGGCAGGCAGGCAGGCAGAAGTGGTTGAGCCCACGAGTCACTCATATTCTTTGACTTCTTTGGCCATATTTCAGATGCATGCAGTGGAGCAGAGCGAACTGCAGCGCAGTACTCTCGACTCTAATTGGGAATTCGGATATCATGGTGGTACCGTAAACGGCCTTATTTAGCAAAAGTCTATCGAGTTTTTTGTTTCCGTGCAGCGATTTAGTCGGCCAGTAACCCACCAGGGCTGATCCAGCTTTTCCGGTCAACCCACTACACTGCTTCACTCCCGATCGTTAGGCAGAGCACTGATGAAGAATAGTCCTGGAGCAAGAGTTTTCATTCGGGTGTCAAAAAATCTATCCTAAACATTCCCAAACCGCCTATCAAAGTGTCCAGAAGATTTGGCATCTCGACGGTGTTTTCACTTAACAAGACTGCTTCATCTGCATGTTCTAGTTGCACTGAGGATTCTTATGATCCCTGTAATGTTTGACGAGATGAAAACATATCTAGGTACGCGTATGGTAAAGCTGAATAGTAATGGAGAGGATGCACATCCCTGAAGTACATAACACCATAGTTTCTGACATGCGGAGGGCTGTCCGAGTACAGATTCCTCAATATATATATATATATATATATATATATATATATATATATATATATATATATGCTCGGCACCCTTTCGATGCAAAGCTCTGCCATAGGACATCTCAATCTATGTAGTCGAATATCGCCTTCAGGTCGAGGAAAATAGCTAGCATCGGGTGTCGGTAAGTGTGTGTATATTCCAGAACCTGGTGGAGTGTGAATATCTGGTCAATATACCCACGACCAGGTCTGGAACTTGTATAGTTTTATGTAACTTGCTGTTCCCGAACTCCACTTAAACGTCTGATGATAATAGAACTTAGAATCCTGAAAACTATGTTCGTCAGGCTGATTCCTCTGTGGTCCTCACGAGAGAACATCTTGCATTTCTTCAAGACTGGGACAATCATTGATTTTTCGGGATGTTGTTCTTTTCCACATCTTACTTAATCCTGATAAATCTAATTGACGAATTCAGGTGTATGTCCAAAGCAAGGTACTGTTTGTGTGTTGGCCTCCAATTGTTTACTGGCAATTACGTTATCATCGGGTATCGGAAGCTAATGTTACGGAGTTGAAAAATCACAGGTAATTTTCTGTGAAGAATTAGTCCACGCAACCCATTCATTGAAAAAGAACTTGAATACACCACTGATACTCATTGATTTCACTGTTCCTTTAATATACATGAGATGCTGAACCATCTTATAACGTGTGGAAAAACACGGCACTATACGTTTATCTTAAATGAGACCTTTTTGCCATTCAAGTCACTTCGTAACTCTAACCATGAGATACTATGACTGGTTGATAGGTAATTACTAACTGATCTGACTACATAAAATTTTGATACTAATGGTTTAACTTCACTGGTTGCAGCCGTGACATGCTATTTTTTTTAACACTGAGTTGTATGCTGCACTGCAAACACAAAAAGACAAATTCAACGTAGAACCTCACACAGTACTGTATCGTCCCAAGTTACTACTCTTTGTTGTAGCATGCAAAGAATAAGTGAATATAAAAGGCCTGATATCAAAGCATAAGTATTTGAGAGGAGAAAAGATTTGGTAATCAAGGTTAAGTGTTCAGACTGGAAAAGACGTCAAAGGGTGAATAAATCCTCGTCATTGTGACTAATTTTAAGCTATTCCATTTCCTGCTACCTCTAGGACTCCAAACAGGCAGTATACCTCATTCTACTTTCCGATTAGGTTAAGTGGTGAACGCGTTTCACTATCACTTTCTATTTCAAAGCTACCAGTCGGCTTGTGCTATTCCTGAAGAAACATCTAACACTTGACAAGTACGAAATACATGCCATACTCAGATTTCTACTCGGTGCGTTCTCAGTAGAATCAGTCCTAGGGGCTAACTGGTGTCAAAATCTGAGCTCAGATAAAAACGATCCGTTTGGCATTTGCCAACTTATGGTACCTATAGTCCCGGCGTGATATCCGACCACTCATCAAATGATGAGTTCGCTTTGCACCATTCTGCTCTGTCTTATTGTGAGGCTATAAGACGTGGCCGCTGAAAGCAGATATGAAAAGGTTACAGGTTTCTGACCATAAGTGTCTTCGTAGCACTACTTGCTTGTGGTTGGATCACTGTGAGAGCAGTGGTGAGGTTAGATGTAGAGCATTAGGCAGGGAAAGCAGATCTACCGATGAGGCTGTGAACCTTCACCTACTGAGATGGTTTCAAAACTTGTTGCGCATGCCATACACAATAATTTCTTTTATCCACCGCAGCGTCCTTCATCATTTGCATGTAGTTTGTTAGTATTTGGTTTTCAAGAGTTTTTTTGTCAGCAACGAGTGATTCTTTGTTTTCAGTTTTTCCACATCTAGTTCAGTATTTTTTAATGGGCACCTTGTAATATTGTCAATTCAATCATGCTTTTACTGTTTTAACTATACATACAGATTGTCCTGTTTGACTATACTGATATTGAAATTCATTTATTCATCCAAACCACCTTTCTCTGTTTGAACACGATTCCTGTTTCAGGAATTCTTTTGTCTGTCTCAAGAACAGTAACAACTGATAAACCTGGAAATCTTAAAGACAATCCTAAATCACTCCCTCATTCAACTGGGAACCTTCTCAGTTGCCCCGATTATTTTGGCCTTAGAAATTTGGTCAGTGTTAGTGAGCTATTTCAAGCTCGTGTTCATTTCGGTCATCGATCAGTACTTCGCAATGATTACATGATACCATACATTTATGGCTGCAGACAAGGGATAGATATAATCGATCTGGAACAAACAAATTCATTGTTGTTTGATGCACTCAACTTTACAGCACACATTGCCTATCGCCAAGGAATAATCCTCTTCATGTACCCATACAAACAAGTAAGTAGTGTATTAACTTTACTTCAATCATGTACTAAACTTTTGCATCACTTGTGCAAATAGTCAGAATTAATGTATAACTACGAATGCAAGTCAACTCAGTACATGCATTTGCCCTATTCTGTGAAACAAACTTGAGATGCATTATGGTAATAACTAATCACCCGGACCAGATTCAGTGGAGTGGGATTTGAACCCTGAACCCATTATCTTAAATTCAAATGCTTTGGCGGAAAAACCACAGTTCTGCATACACAACTAAAGAAGTAATTAGTATCGTTTCTGAACTAGCTGCTTTCACAAATTATTTAACACTGCACTACTTTTAAAACAATTATTCATATGCTCACACTTTGAATCAGTCTACATGTGATAACTTGAAAGTACTAATAAATTGATTTCCTTGTTGAAGTGCACTCAGAAATCCGAAAAATGAACGTAGATATATTTAAGTTGGTCTGAGTGTCATTGATTTTTGCATCCAACAAAAATACTAAGAAATTCCATCAGCGAAATTCGAAGTATCATAAAACATATACAGAGTAAATTGCAAGGAAATGTGTCTGTGTTAAAAACATAATCAACTGTAGAAATGTGATATATATTTTAATATGTTCTTTTCATCGTCGTTATAGATGTTTCAAAAAATTGATAATTAGCATCTGTATACGGAAAAACATGTTACTTTACATTAAGCATTGACTAGTCGAAATAAGGTGAAGTGATTTACTTTTCTCATTCAACAACCTGATAATCTGAAGGGTTGTAGAATGTAAGGCCACTATGTACCTGACGTAAGTCGCCTATGCTTGTGAAATAAACTGCTTAAGAAAGATAAATTAATGCACACAACATATTCTTGTCTTTAACTCAACGGTGAAAACGTGTCGCTGTCAGTTTTCACTGGAGATCTGATTAAGATTACCGCTTTCCGCAAAACCAGTGTGCTCGATTAACCCAATCCGGCCTATTCGGTGAGTCTTCAAAATTCACCCTTCGGGTTTCTGGAGATTCAATGGCTAATTCTCTTAGCCTCCCAGGTGCAATAAAAACAAAAAAGAACAGCGAAACTTTCCTTTGTCTTAATTAAATTCTAACTACACACCAAATAAACTACAGTTAGGTTATAATGAAGGGCGAGTTCTGCCGAAAACAATCTAGCCTCTCACTGAAAGCCTAACTTTCAAACTGGATTTCGGTAGCACGTGATTTCAGTGTCCAAGTGGATAGGCTAAACCAGAGAGTAAGATCTCAAGAGACTGGAATGCTAACAGAGTTGTGAGGGTGGTATACACTCTCCGGTCCCCCATACACTGGAAGCGTTTTCCTTCTTAAGGTACTCGGAAAAGAAGGGTTAGCACGTTGAAGCAGAGCCCAAACTACATCTGCTTTAAGCCGGTAACACATGATCTTTGTAGACTTTTTAAATTTGAGTTTTTTTGTTTCGACTCCAACCATGAACCCGTACCTCCGGCACTGGTATGCCACAAGTGTACCGTTTTTAAAGCCAACCTTTTCCAAACTCCCCATCGCATTCGGAGGGTAGCATGAGCGCCGCACTGCTGGTCATCCTTGCGGAACACCTTACTCTTATCACTTCGTCCGATTAGCACTAAAACTTCCCCATCAGATGAACCTATCATGACGTAGTAATTTACCCTATAACCAAAACTTCTTTTTTGTCTAACCACTATCCAACAGTGACTGAGTGACCTCGTGAATGACACTCTCACCTTTGAAACTATCGGTCTTCGGTTCCAGTCTCCCGACTCAGCAGTAAATTTGACATGGGTTTCGTCCTTCTATATTACAATAACTCAACAACATACACTGACTAGAAAGCTTGTTCCTTCGAGGCCCTATCATACTAAAAAGGTCAGTTAGATAGTGGCTGGATAAAAATCAGTTACTATTTTATTGTAAATTGCTACGCTATGATAGGGCTCTGAAGGTGAAGTCGTGCTGCTGGCTGGCTGGAGTGTGTTAGTAGTTAGGTGTTTCCCTTGGATGGATAGCCAGCAGTGCTTTGATGATGCTTCCTTCTTTATGGAAATAGAGGTGAGAAGCTGTGGACCCCTAAATTTACCTCCCTCTCGCCTTTCTCCTTGGGCATTCCGGTGCGTTCCATAGTTTTTCGTAGTCGAATTCACAAACAAACATCCAAAATCTCAACCATATAGAAAGGCAGTGTGTATCACAGGCCTCAAGCAGATGTCCTTTGGGCTCTGCGGCCGCACAGGTACGTCAAGCCTTCCACGATTTGGGCAGCCGCCCTTGCAACTTTGTCAGCACTCGAGTCCCCTCAGAACCCTATCTGCCTCCCAATCCTTATCTTCTAATATTCCTTCATGTTTTTCAGTCAACTGTCCTACATCATCTTTGATTTCTCCCACCTCTGCAGATCTCGACAGCGATCTGGGTTCACAGAACAGCGCTATGTGTATCCTGAAACTACTCTTCAAGTTATGCATTGTAGTTTCCAATGTCCTGACCCTCTGACAATTCAGCGAAGAAGCTTCAGTAGCCAAAACTTCAGGAACTCGGACCATAGAAGTGTGCTGTATTTGTTTGACATGCGTACATCACTCAAGTGCGGTTATACACTTGACCTCACGCGGTCAAATATGGTGGATCCACAAAATTCACCTTTCGAGTTTCTGAAGATTCACTGATCAGTTGTTGCGGTCTTACAGGTATATAGGTATGGCATTGAGCACGAAGACAGAAAGCTCTCTGCTCGACTGAATCATAGTTGACAGTCACCTACGCACTTAACGGCACAATGAGTACAAAAACTTATGTAAAAAATTCACCTTTATCTCTTAGTAATCGCTTAACGTATCCACTGACTGCAGTTCAAATGAAGTGAAGGATGAGTTCTGCTGTCTAGTCTCCTACTGAAACCCAAACGCTAAGGTGTGTTAGTTGTTGCTGTTGAATTCAATGCACAAGTGGGCAGGTTAATTCAGGCAGAAGGGCACTTAGGTGGCACTTTCTTAATCTCAATTGAATAAACAGATAATGGCGATCACACACTACAACTCTGCTCAGATAACCATTTATTTCTACCCAGCAGAGACTTCAGACATAAGGAGAGTCACTGTCTGACATGGCGTCCACCGACCTCAACTCAGCGATGGACACAGATAGACCACATCGGTATCAGTCACCGCTGGAGAGGGTCGGTAGAAGACTCCCACTCCTTTTAGAGCACATATTTGGATAGCGACCACGCGTTGATTCGAGTGCGTATTTATCTGTATCTCAATAGACGTAGGAAAACTTAAGTAATAAAGCTGTTACAAGTACAGCTTGGTAAGGAGAGCACTAGGGCCGCTTTCAGTGAGAAACTGGCTCGACAAGTATAGGAACAGGGCAACATAACTCATCCAGAAGAAGTTTGCCGCCATCTCCAGTCTACTGTAAAAACAGCATTGAAGACCGTAGCAGACTCTCAGAGATTGGTTAAAAAGACGCAGTGGATCTCAGCTACTTCTTATAAACTAATGGATGCGTGCGAATAAATCCATGCAGGTTCCGAGAACAATGAAGAGCAGAAGCAACTCAAACGTAAACTGACAGAAATTCCAAACAATGACCGCGAATAGTGGTGGGCAGCGAAGGCTGGATGGAAAAGGCAGCGGCGATAGATAACAATAAACAGTTATTTAGAATTATCAAAAAAATTGGAGTGAAAAGGTCAATGGTTAGTGAAAAGATAGAGGAAGATGATCGATCTGCGACTCACTCACAGGGGAGACGACTGTAACGATAAGCGGAACACTTCGAGCAACAGTTCAACTGGCCTCCGGCTACTATTTTGTTGGTTCGTTTTCCGTCGCATCCTGAATGTAACGTTGACATAGGGCCTCCAACACTTGCAGAAGTCGAGAAGATTGTAGGTGACCTGAAACGAAGAAGAGTAGCAGGTTTAGACGGACTAGTTCCAGAAGTATTTAAGGACAGTGGTGAAGCATTTTTAGTCGTTACCTTAAGTTATTACCTAGCGTGTGAAAGTCAGATACGATTCCCTTTGAGGAGTCTCAATAACTGATTGTCGCAGTCCTCAAGAAGAGTGAGAAACCTCCCTGTGGTGGCCACAGTGGAATCAGCCTGAAAAATATAGTGTCGAAGATGTTAGGTTCCATAATCATCAGACTCCTGAGTGGAGCTCGGGAAAGCGAACCTGAAAAAACCAGACAGGCTTCAGACCTCACTGTGGGTGTTATTATTATTTGTCCCTTGGGTTCCTGTTAGAACATAGGGCTTCAGTAGCACGTCTCCATTTCACTCTGTTCTCTTCAGTCTTTTGAACCTGGCTCCACGACTGCCCAGAGGCTTTCATTTCTTCCTCATACCATCTCCTACATGTCACCCTCGCCTCGGACGCCCAACTAGCCATTTCCCTTCTGGGTTCCACTCGAGTGCCTGGCGCGTGATGTCCCCGAATGGCCTTCTAAGTGAATGCGCAGTTCAATCCATCTCCACTTCCTTCTGCATATTTGTTAAGCGATAGCTTCTTGGTCGGTTCGTTGCCAGCCAGAGTTCCTTGTTGCTTATTCTTATTATTCTGGCTATCTGATCTTCAGTATCGAGCGTAGGCGGAAGCTGTTGATGTATGTCTGTAGTTTGTTGGAAATACTTTTCGTAACTCGCCAAGTTTCCGAACCATATATAAACACTGACTTGACGTTGGTGTTGAAAATCCGGATGTTGTTCACGCTTTATGCTGAGTGCAGTAGATTTCCACATTGATTTCAGATTAATGAAGACCTATCTTGCTTTTCCGCTCTTGGCTTTGACGTCCTCATCTCTGCATTCTGTAATTGAAACGATGCTGCCTAGGTAGGTGAACAAGACTACTTTCTTTAGGTTTCTCCCATTCATGATGCTTGTTGTTGGCTGGTTATCCTCATCATCTCTGTCTTCTCTGCGTTCACCTGAAGGAAGTCCCGTCTTCGCTTCCTCGCCTCTTCTGCCAACTTGTAAGTTTCCGCCTA